TGCCACTGCTGACACTGAGGGACTGGCCCTTGTGAAGTCGGAGCTACAAAAGAGACACACGTGCACAGACCTGGTTGAGCTGCGCAGCTATCTTGGCTTGCAGATCACTCGAGACAGAGCACGGCGCACCATCACACTGACTCAGTCACACTGACCATCATGGTGCAGCAGGTCCTTCAGTGCTTCAACTTCACTTGGTCCTCGCCACAGTCCACTCCTCTGCCTACACGTCACTCGCTCTCAGCTCCACCTTCAGACGAGTCCGTAGAGCCGAGTGGTCCGTACCCAAAGTTAGTGGGCTGCATAATGTACCTGATGACCTGCACTCGTCCTGACCTTGCGTACCCTCTTAGCCTTCTAGCACGCTACGTGGCTCCTGGTAGGCACCAAAAGGTGCACTGGGAAGCTGCGAAGAGGGTACTGCGCTACTTGTGCAGTACATTGGGCATGGGGCTCGTGCTTGGAGGGCAGAGTTTAGTTGTCCTCACTGGGCACTCAGACGCTTCTTGGGTTGACGACCTGGCTACGCAGCGGTCGTCACAGGGTTACACTTTCAGCCTTGGCTCCGGCTCTATTTCTTGGCGGTCTACACGCTCGTCTTCTGTTCTCAGCTCCAGTTGTGAGGCTGAGATCTACGCCACAGCCATGGCTGCACAGGAGTTACGCTGGCTCACCTACCTGCTGACCGACTTGGGAGAGAGGCCTCGTTCTCCTCCAGTTCTGTATGTCGACAACAAGGCTGCCATTGCCTTGTGTCAGGGCCACAGACTAGAGCACATAACGAAGCACATCGCTCTGCGTTACTTCCTTGCTCGAGAGTTGCAGCAGCGTGGTCAGCTTCGTGTCGCTCATGTGCCCATCCGGGCCAACACGGCTGATTTGTTCACCAAGGCCCTTCCAGGTGGTGATCATCAGCGCTTCTGCACTGCTCTAGGCCTGGTGCCTACGTTTCCTCATTTGTTGTAGACTTTGCTTGTACTGTGATATATATATACATATATACCGTCATGCTTATTCTTGCTAGGTAGTGATCACTGTACTGTTGTTGTTACATATATACCTCTGCATGTGAACTGGCCTTGTGGCCCTTTGCTTGCGCTCGGAGTGTGTGGTGACGTTGTGATCCACCCTTCGCTTGCATTGCTTTTCTTGACTGGTCTTGTAACCCCTTGTTCTCCCCCACTTTGCTTATGGGGGTGTGTCAAACTATATATGTTATAGTATGATATGTAGGCTGTAGTGGGGTAGCCAATATGGAGTACAACCCCTTTAGGGTTTCTATTTGTACCCAACACTCTCATAGTTTATCCCATTCATGCTCTTAGTTCTGACATTAGCCGTACTGGAGGTACTGGTCCTGGAGGCACAGGTGCTATTGGGGGTACTGGCGGTGCTGATACTGGAGGTACTACTGAGGTACTGGTTCTGGGGGTGCTGTTGCTACTAGAGCTGGAGGTTCTGGGGGTGCAACTACTCAGCCGCAGCTGTCTGTGCTTCGTCGCCTTCTCAGTCTCCCGCCTGCTGCTACTGAGTTCCCGGTTCCTGGTACTACTCCCCCGTTACTGTTCCCACCGAATGACCATTCCCAGCCACAGCTACTGCCTGGCTCCCCGCTACTTGCTCCTGCTCTTCACATTGAGGTGACTGCGTCCCTGGCTGTGCATTGTGAGCCTGCGACTCGTGCTTCCACTCCTGAGCATCGAGAGCCTGAGACTAGAGCTTCTGTCCCTATTCGTGTTCGTCGTCCTCGTGCTGCGGATGTACCGGGCACTCACGATATGACACTCCGTCCTTCCTCTGTTCCACAGCGTGTTGTCCTGCCGTCGCCTCCCGCGTCCTCTCTTCCGGATGTTCCTGACCCTGAGTCTGACCTTGTCCGTGCTGCCAGTCCGACTGTCACTCGTCTCCTTGCCACAGTTGTGACCTTCCTTTGAGTCTGCTGCTGCGTCTGCCTTGGTTGCTGAGCTTGTTGACTTTGCCGCTTTGTGCCGCCTTGACTACGCTGCGGGTCTTGTCTTTTACTCTTCCTGTCCTCCGTCCGTCGAGGGTGAGCTTGCCCTTGGGTGTGACGTCCTTGAGGACAGGCAGTTTGAGCTGCAGTGCCTAGCGGCCGCTGCACCTCATCTCGCATCAACGCTACTTTGCCCTGAGGGAGACCCGGATGCACTGGACATCCCGACCGCACGCACTTATGCAGAGGCGATCACGGGTCCGTACTCCTCTCAGTGGCAGACAGCCATGGACGCAGAGATGGCTTCGTGGAAGTCCACAGGCACCTATGTCAACGACGTTCCCCCACCTGGGGCGAACATAGTCGATGGCATGTGGATTTTCAGGGTGAAGCGGCCGCCGGGTTCTCCGCCTGCCTTCAAGGCGCGTTACGTTGCACGAGGCTTCAGTCAGCGTGAGGGGGTCGACTTTTTTCAGACCTTCTCCCCCACCCCGAAGATAACCACTCTTCGGGTGCTATTGCATGTTGCAGCACAGCGCGACTACGAGCTGCACTCCCTCGACTTCTCGACAGCCTTCCTGCAGGGCAGCCTTCACGAGGCTATCTGGTTGCGCCGTCCACGTGGCTTCACTGGGTCGTTTCCTGAGGGTACCCAGTGGAGTCTTCGGCGACCAGTCTACGGCCTACGACAGGTGCCCCGCGAGTGGCACGACACACTGAGGACTACACTTGCGGCTCTTGGTTTTGCCCCCTCGATTGCTGACCCTGCATTGTTTCTGCGTACAGACACCTCTCTGCCGCCGTTCTACATTCTTGTGTACGTCGACGACTTGGTTTTTGCTACTGCTGACACTGCTGGACTGGCCCACGTGAAGGCGGAGCTGTAGGAGAGACACAACTGCACTGGCCTAGATGAGCTGCGCAGCTATCTTGCCTTGCAGATCACCCGGGACAGAGCACGCCGCACCATCACACTGACTCAGTCACACATGGTGCAGCAGGTCCTTCAGCGCTTCGGCTTCCAATTCTCCTCGCCACAGCCCACTCCTCTGTCTAGCGGCCACTCGCTCTCAGCTCCACCTTTGGACGAGTCCGTAGAGCCGAGTGGTCCGTACCCAGAGCTTGTGGGTTGCCTCATGTACCTGATGACGTGCACACAACCTGACCTCGCGTACCCTCTCAGCCTCCTGGCTCGCTACGTGGCTCCCCGTAGACATCGAAAGATGCACTGGTATGCTGCGAAGAGGGTATTGTGTTAATTGTGCAGTACATCGGGCGTGGGGCTCGTGCTTGGAGGACCGGATTCATTTGTTCTCACCGGTCACTCAGACGCTTCTTGGGCTGACGACCAGACGACTCACCGGTCGACACAGGGGTACAGTTTCAGCCTCGGCACTGGTACTGTCTCGTGGAGGTCCACTCACTCTTCTTCTGTAGTTAGTTCCAGCTGTGAGGCCGAGATCTACGCCAGGGCTATGGCTGCACAGGAGCTCCGCTGGCTGACCTACCTGCTGACCGACTTGGGTGAGCGGCCTCGTTCTCCTCCAGTTGTGTACGTCGACAACAAGGCCATGATTGCCTTGTGTCAGGACCAGTGACTGGAGCACATAACGAAGCACATTGCTCTCCGTTACATCCTCACGCGAGAGCTGCAGCAGCGTGGTCAGCTTCGCCTTGCTTACGTGGCCACACAGGCCAACACTGCTGATGTCTTCATCAAGGCCCTTGGGTCTAGTGATCATCAGCGTTTTTGCACTGCTCTTGGGCTTGTGCCCACTCTGCCTCACCTGCTTGTCTATTGATCTTGCCTTGCACTTGGTGTAGTCTGATATATATGATTATACCTGCATATTTGCTCTTGCTAGGTTGTGATCAGAGTACTGCAATTGCTTTTATAAACTCTGCATGTGAACTGGCCTTGTGGCCGCTTGCTTGTGCTCATAATGTGCGGTGATCTTGAGATCCACCTTGGTCTTTGCTTTGATTTGCTTGTTCTCTTGCTTGACTGGTTTTGTGACCGCTTGTTGTCCCCCACTTAGCCTATGGGGGTGTGTCAAAGTATGCACTTATAGTGCTGTAGTCTATACTGGGGTACACTGTAGAGGGGACAACCCTTTTAGGGTTTACTACTTGTATCCCCATCCTGCATAGTTCATTCATTCCTGTTTCCATATTCTAACAATGCGGTACAGTGTGAGTGTAACAGTATCCGGTCCAGTTATTTTATAGCACTTGAGCATATACGGTGCTGCAAGAATGTTACAAAATTATGATATTTACTACATAAACTCAATAAGCTTACAAGGAAGCAGGCGGCCGTTCCTCTGCACCCCTTACAGACCCTTTTGACTCTCATTTTCCAGCCGCACCTGAGCCTTTCACTCCCGCCTTACATACCGGAGGCCGACAGCCAGCTCGCGCTGCACTGCACTCCCATAAGTCATCCCCTCACTATCACCAAGCACTGTCCCGCACGTCACACATGAGAGGCCGACACCAAGCACAGAAAAGCAAGCCCCTCTCTGCACCCCCATTGTCCTCCCATCACAATTTCTGAGGCGCCTCAAAAAGAGGCCGACACCAAGCACTGAACCGCGACACCAATCACTGAACCGCGACACCAAGCACTGAACCACAAGCCCTGCTCTACACCCCCATAGTCCTCCTGACACCCACACACGTTCCACCAACGCCTCTCGCATCACGCATGTGAGGCCCACATCGACAGCAAATCTGCACTCCCATAAACCCTCCTCTTCCCCCACCCTCATCACACCAACGCCTCGCGTAACTCACGCACGGGAGGCCGACAGCGACCGCTGCATCATCCGTGCCTGCTGCCCACTGCTGCACATGCTCTCCCTGTGGCTCTCATGTTTCCGCGTCCTCTCTCACCAACCAGCCTCTCTCGCACTTCATGCATGGGAGGCGGGCAGGGGTCGCTGCATCATCCGTGCCTGCTGCCCCTCGATTCGCGCCCTCTCACTGTGGCTCTCATGCGTTCGCGGCCTCGCTCCCCCACCCTCATCCCACCAGTCCCTCTCTCACATCACATATGGGAGACCGGCATTGATCGCTGCATCATCAGCCGCCGTGCCTGCTGCCCACTGCTGCCCGCCCTCTCCGTGTGGCTGTCAGGAGTTCGTGAAACTCCACCAGCAGCAGCAGCAGCAGCAGCAGCATCAGCAGCAGCAGCAGCATCAGCAGCAGCAGCAGCAGCACCGGCATCAGCAGCAGCAACAGCAGCAGCAGCAGCAGCAGCAGTGCCACCACCAGCAGCAGCAGGAGTGCCAAATCCCACTGCCTTGCTCTTGTGATGCCCAAAGCTGGCAAAATCAGGCATGTGTGGAAGATGAAAGCTCCGGGCGCCACTGGCCAAGTCAGGCATGTGCGGTAGATGCAAGCTCCGTGCGCCACTGGCGAAATCAGGCATGTGAGGAAAGTGCACTGCGTGCCCACTCAAAAACCCGTGCCCTCCGCCCTCCCTCTGGCCCCCCTCCCTCTGACTCCCCCCCCGGATACTCCTAAAGAGCGTCTTCAGCCTAGCGGAAGCACCTTTACACTCTGGACAAAAAGACGCCCCACTGCCTTCCGCCCCTCCATCACCTCCCGCTCCCCGGCCTCCCTGCGACATCTGCAGCAGCTGCAGCGAGTGCACCTCATTCAAATGCTCGTTCCACCGCCATATATCCCCGTCCACATGCTTAGACCACTCCGGAAGCTCCCGCTTCTCAATAAAATGCGCCACCACTCTCAGAATCCTCGGATCCCGGAAATACGCCCCGTGATTCAAATCACACCGCCCTGTAATCTCCCCCACACGCTCTTCAATCATCACACACAGCTGCTGCAACTGCCGCTCAAACTCCCGGTCGCTCAGCCGGGGGTTGCGACCCATGGTGGGGAGCTGGGACTTGAGGCGCTGGAACGTCTGCGACTGCTCTGCTAGTTTGGAGAGCTCCCTGTCATCCCAGAGGAACTCAAAGGCCAGTTTCTCACGCGGGTCCCTGGCAGTGCTTGTACTGGCGCCAGCAGGAGTGGGGGCGGCACCAGATGGAGCATGAGATGAAACAGGGCCGGGACCAGATGAAACCGCCCCATCCACAATGTCAATCTCCCCTTCCCAGTCTCCCTCTCCCCCACCTGTGTCAGTTCCACCTGCCAGAGACCCATGCCGAGCCCCCTTGCTGCCCTCCTTGCTCCTCGCACCGCCAGTGCGCCTCAGCAGCAGCCCTCGCGCACCCCGTCGCTTCCGAAACACACTGTGTGTGTTCTTCCTCAGCGCAGCAGCCAGCACTTTGTGAGGCGCCCCGCACCCCCCCTCGTTTCCACTCTCCTCCCCACTTCCACCACCCCCCTCGTTTCCGCCACCCCCCTCGTTTCCGCCGCCCTCCCCACTTCCGCTACCCCCCTCACAAGAGGGAGATTGCACAGTGGCAGCAGGGGGTAACTTCAGCCACTCGGGCTGCTGCTGCACAGTGGCAGTGCCGGTGCTGCTGCCGTCAAAAACAGGCGTGCGGTCACGGCGATGGGCGGCAGGGGATGGCTCCAGCCAATCAGGTTGCTCCACGGTGTCGTCCTCATAGCCGGGCATGAGCTCTCCCTTTAGCGACTTGGTCTTTGCCTCCGCCAGCAGTTTCTGAGAGAGGAAGGGGTGGGATATGGTGAGGTCAGAAGTGAGACAGGGAGGGTGTTGAAAAGAGATGGGTCATAGCCGGGCATGAGCTCGCCCTTGAGCGACTTGGTCTTTGCCTCCGCCAGCAGTTTCTGAGAGAGGAAGGGGTGGGATATGGTGACGGTCAGAAGTGAGACGGGGAGGGTGATGATAAGAGATGGGTCATAGCCGGGCATGAGCTCGCCCTTGAGCGACTTGGTCTTTGCCTCCGCCAGCAGTTTCTGAGAGAGGAAGGGGTGGGATATGGTGACGGTCAGAAGTGAGACGGGGAGGGTGATGATAAGAGATGGGTCATAGCCGGGCATGAGCTCGCCCTTTAGCGACTTGGTCTTTGCCTCCGCCAGCAGTTTCTGAGGAGGGGGGAGAGGGAGAAAGGGAGATGGGGAGATGGTGAGGAGAGCAGCGGGGGGAGAAAGGGGTGGGAGAGAGTGAGGGAGGGAACTGGCTTAAGCCAATCGGGTTGCTCCACAGTGTCGTCCTCATAGCCGGGCATGAGGTCGCCCTTGAGTGACTTGGTCTTTGCCTCCGCCAGCAGTTTCTGAAGGGGGGGGGAGAGAGAGGGAGAGAGGAAGATGGGGAGATGAGGAGGAGAGCAACGGGGGCAGAAGGGGTGGTAGGGAGTGAGGGAGAGAACTGGCTCCACCCAATCGGGTTGCTCCACAGGGTCGTCCTCATAGCCGGGCATGAGCTCGCCCTTGAGTGACTTGGTCTTCACCTCCGCCAGGAGTTTCTGAAGGGGGGGATGGGGGACAGGGACAGGAGGGAGAATGAGCGGGGAGAAAGGGGTGGGAGAGGGAACGAAAATCAGCTCGCCTTTGAGTGGCTTGGACTTTGCCTCAGCAAGAAGTTTCTGAGGAAGAGGGAGAAGGGAGAGGGGAGGGGAGAGGGGTGAGGGGTGAGGGAAAATCAGCTCCATATCCAGATTCTCGCCCACATACACATACACGTAGATCAAGCAGGTCTGCGTGCCAGTAATACCTATACCAACCCAACCAGCTTGCACGTTCCCACCGTTCCCTGTTACCAGCCCCACATGTCCCCGCGCTTCCAAGTTCCGTACATGCACACTCCAATTATCCACTTGTTGCGCTACATGTCTAGATGCTCGTACACATACGTGTAGCTCAGGTCCCCTGGCTTGCAGTAACACTGCCAGTGCCAGTGTTACTGCTCAGGTCCCCTGGCTGGCTTTTGAGTCGACTCAAAAGCAGCTCAGGTCCCCTGGCTTGCAGTAACAAGATATGAACCAAACCAAGCTGCTCGTCCCCCCCATTCCATCCTGCACACCTGCACGTTCCAGTGGTCAACTCGCTGGGTAGAGAGCTCCATGTCCAGATGCTCGTCCGCATACACATGCGCGTAGCTCAGTTCCCCGGGAGACAGCCCGTGTTGCCCGTGTCAACTTGCTGGGTAGAGAGCTCCATGTCCAGATGCTCGTCCGCATACACATACGCGTAGCTCACGCAGGTGTGGGTGGCAGTGACGGTACATCAACCAGACCAAGCTGCTCATCCCATCCCACATGAGCTCACCCTTCTATGTTACATACCTGCACGTTCCAGTGATCGACTTGCTGAGTGGCCAGCTCCATGTCTAGATTCTCGTCCACATACACATACGCGTAGCTCAAATCCCCCGGAGACAGCCCAAAGCTGACGGCCACCACAGCCTGCTGAATCCACCCGGTCACCAGCGGCGCGATGAGGTGCGAGAAGAGAGACAAGATGGCTGCAGGGAGGAAGAAGAGGACGTCCCACACGAGCACAACGGAGCAGTGGAAGAGGAACGCGCACCACACTCGCTGGGGGGCGTAGCGTGTGGGTGCCTTGGGGAGCGGCGCCCAGGGGGTCTGCTTCAGGAGTTTTGTCAGGTGCGGGAAGACGTAGGCTCGCGTGATTGGCTCCATGGATAGCGCGAGGCTCGCCTGGGGGGAGGAGGAGAAGAGGGAACGGTGAGGGGGAGGGAGGGGGAGGGGAGGAGAGGAAAGGGAGGCAGGGAATGAGAGGCGGAATGGGAGTGGGGGGGAAGGTGGGTGTTTCATTCGAGAGATGGCAAAGCAATGAAGAGACGAGTAAGGTGAGGAGAGGAGAAACAGTGAAGGAAGGTGGGAAACGTGATATGCTATTCGACCAGTCAACGGGCACTCGCCTGGTGAGTGAACGAGGGTGGGGACGAATGGGGGTGGCAGGGGGTGGCGCACTCACCTCATCAAGCTTGCCGGCGTGAATGACGAGGGCGGACATGGCAGGCGACCAGTCGAAGGCCGGGTTGTGGTAGAGGTTGCCGCTGTACAGCACTGTGTTGCCTGTGGCCTGGGGGGGGGGGAGCAGGGGGAGGAGGGGAGAAGGGGGAGGATGAGAGAAAGTCGGATGAGTGGCGAAGGAGAGCGAAGGAGTTGTGGCAGAAATTGTTGCTGTGTAGCACCGTGTTGCTGTGTAGCACCGTGTTGCTGTGTAGCACCGTGTTGCTGTGTAGCACCGTGTTGCTGTGTAGCACCGTGTTGCTGTGTAGCACCGTGTTGCTGTGTAGCACCGTGTTGCTCGTGGCCTGGAGGGGGGAAGCAGAGAGGCATGAGGAGATCGAGTGGGTGGGGCGAGGAGGGACGGAGAACAAAATGGGTGGTGGTTGATCCAACAGTGATGGTATATGAGCACAGTGGTGCGCAGAGGGTGACAGGATGAGGAGTAGAGTGGGGAATATGAGATGGCGAGTGAGTTGGGAGGGTGAAGAGGGGCGGGAAGGTGGAGAGGGGTGGGAGGGTGGAGAGGGGTGGAAGGGTGGTATTTTGGCGTTGATGGTAGTTTTACCATGGATGTGAGTGGGAGGGCAACCACACAGCCATGCCATCAATCTCTCCTGCCTCTCTGTGAGTGTACCAACATCCACCACTCACTCTCCCTACAACCACATCTCGGTACACTCACACCTGGGCACCCTCACACCTCCATACACCCATGCTTCGTTACACTCACGTCCATGATCTGCTGACCAGCACGAGCAGCATGATGCCCGTGGCGACATGGCTATGTGGTCTTTGAGTCGACTCAAAAGTCATCCCGTGGCGACATGCCTGTGTGGTTTTTGAGTCGACTCGAAAGTCATCCCGTGGCTACATGCCTGTGTGGTTTTTGAGTCGACTCGAAAGTCATCCCGTGGCGACATGCCTGTGTGGTTTTTGAGTCGACTCAAATGTCATCCCCTGGCAACATGCCTGTGTGGATGAGCTCCCACACAGAGGCACACAAACCCTTAGTGATCCACTAGTAGCACCCGGATAGGATATGATCGCACATAGTGCTCAATATATGTACACCCACACCTCACTACGCTCACATCCATGATCTGCTTGACAAGCACGAGCAGCATGATGCCCGTGTCTTTGCCCTCCCACTCACATCCATTGTAGTGCCACGACCAACACATCTCATTACACCCACACCTCGTGACACTCACGTCCATGATCTGCTTGACGAGCACGAGCAGCATGATGCCCGTGGCGATGAGGAAGTTGAGAAGGAGGATCAGGTGAGGGCCCGACTCCGCGTAAAACCTGCGAGTGAGGGGAGGGAGGAGGGGACACAGCAAAACGGTGGGACGGAGAGGAGGGCCTTTTGAGACGTTCCAAAGCTTGACGAGCACGAGCAGCATGGTGGCAGTGGCGATGAGGCAGCTGAGAAGGAGGATGAGGTGAGGGCCTGACTCCAAGTAAAACCTGGGGGGTTGGAAGGCAAGGGGAAAAAGTTGGATGGAGAGGAGGTGAGGAGAGGAGGGATGGGAGTGAAATAGACACGGATGAATGGCCCTAGAGGGTTTGTGGCGAAGACGGAGTGATGTTGAGAGGTTACAAAGAAGAGTAACCATCAATGTTGAGAGGTTACAAAGAAGAGTAACCATCAATGTTGAGAGGTTACAAAGAAGAGTAACCATCAATGTTGAGAGGTTACAAAGAAGAGTAACCATCAATGTTGTCATGCTGAGAATAGGCTTGGGGCGAGGGACGACGGGGGGGGCTGGGAAGGAGAAAATGTGGGGAAGGGGAGAGTCTGACAGTGCACGATAAGCGAGAGAAAGACCTGCGAAGAGGATGCGCGATGCTGGGAACATGTGTAACCAGCAGCACCAACAGCCGCACACATACACAGGCCCCCCTGACAGCAATGCTCAGATCACAGGCACCACCAATAGCACTGTTGCAAGCCACGCCATTCACTCTTGCGGGCGGCCCGCCATGAGCAGCACGAGCAGCTCCCACAACGCCGTGTAGGCGAGAATGAAGAGGTACGTGAGCAGCTTGCCCACGCCCACGGACAGCAGCACGCCCGCCCAGCCCCACACAATCACGGGTACAACTGACAGCACTGTTCGACTCCAAACCACTCACTCCTGCGGCCTGCCAGCCATGAGCAGCACGAGCAGCTCCCACAACGCCGTGTACGCGAGAATGAAGAGGTACGTGAGCAGAACGCCCACCCCCACGGACAGCAGCATGCGCGCGAAGCCGTGGCGCTGCCACTTCTTGATGTAGAACGGCGTGCCCAGGAACACGAGAGAGCCCAGCGCGTTGGTCACGGGGGAGGTGGCCTGGCGGAAGGAGAGGAAGCGGCGCTGCCGCACTGCTGGCAGGCCGAGGAGGGTGTCCAGCCATTGGTGGTGCGCCCATGGGTAGGTCTCCTTCACACCGCTCACCCTCTGCCCGTTGAACCTGCCAGTAGGGGCGTGGAGGGGAGCAGGGGGGAGTGAGACAGCAGCATGCGCGCGAAGCCGTGGCGCTGCCACTTCTTGATGTAGAACGGCGTGCCCAGGAACACGAGAGAGCCCAGCGCGTTGGTCACGGGGGACGTGGCCTGGTGGAAGGAGAGGAAGCGGCGCTGCCGCACTGCTGGCAGGTCCAGGAGGGTGTCCAGCCACTGGTGGAGCGCCCATGGGTAGGTCTCCTTCATGCCGCTCACCTTCTCCCCGTTGAACCTGCCAGGAGTAGGGTTGGGGAGAGAGGGAGTGGGGTTCGGTGCAGAGGGGTGAAGGAGCGGCGCTGGTGCACGGCTGGGAGGTTGAGGAGGGTGTCCAGCCATTGGTGGTGCGCCCATGGGTAGGTCTCTTTCACGCCATTCACCCTCTGCCCGTTGAACCTGGGTGAAGGGAGGTGGGGGTAGGGGGGCTCAATGGGGAAGAGTGAGTGGAGTACGGTGCAGAAGGGTAGAGGAAGCGGCACTGGCGGACGGCTGGTAGGTGGAGGTGGGAATCCTGCCATCGGTGGAGCGCCCATGGGTAGGTCTCCTTCACGCCGCTCACCCTCTGCCCGTTGAACCTGGGTGAATGGAGAATGGGAGGGAGTAGGGTTGGGAGAGAGGGAGTGGAGTATAGTGCATAGGGGTAGATGGGCAAAGCTGGCGCACGGTTAGGAGGTTGAGGAGGGAGTTGAAGCACTGGTGGAGAGCGCAGGGGTAGGTCTCTTTCACGCCGCTCACCCTCTGCCCGTTGAACCTGCACATAGGGAGGTGGGAAGTGGGGCAGTGGGCGGAAGCGGGCAGAGGGCGGATGCGGGCAGAGGGCGGATGCGGGCAGAGAAGGGAGAGGGAGTGGAATCCGGTGCAGAGGGGTAGAGGAAGTAGCGCTGGTGCATGGCTCGCACGTCCAGGAGCGAGTCCAGCCACTGTTGGTTACTAACCCTACAAAGCTTCCCACCCTCTGCATTGCCATTCCCCACACACTCACTCACTCACTCGCCCTCGCTCCCTCCCTCACACGCTACACTCCCCACACTCCTCACTCTCACCAGAAGCGCCACCACGATCCGCGCAGCTTCCAGCCACCGCCACTTGTTGATTGATCAGCCCATCGCTGCGCCAGCGCGCTACCCAGACCACCTGTCCCTAGTCATTACTGCTCGGCCACTTGAATCCTTCCTGAGAATTCTTAACAATCGCTCCCCTCCCTTGCGCCGTGTTCAACGTTTCTCACTTACTCACTCCCTACTCACTCACTCCCGCACTCACTCTCGGTACACAACGAGGAAGGGGAAGAAGCGCCACCACGAGTCGTACAGCTCCAGCCGCCGCCACTTCCTGATCAAATCGTAGCTCCACTCCGCCGGTGCACCACCCAAACAACCTGATACTACCTCTAGGTCACTTCCCTTCCTTACGCCTTGTCGTTCTCTCACTTTCTCACTCCCTCACTCACCCCCTCACTCCCTGATTCACCCATTTCCTTCGCTCCCTCACTCCCTACATCCCTTTCACTCCCTAAATCCCCCTCACTCCCTAAATCCCCCTCACTCCCGCACTCACCCTCGGTACACAACGAGGAAGGGGAAGAAGCGCCACCACGAGTCGTACAACTCCAGCCGCCGCCACTTCTTGATCAGCTCGTAGCTGCGCCGGTGCGCCGCCCAGAAGCGCTGCGCCACCGCTGGGTGCCACTCCGCCTTGGGGCGCCGCGCCAGCTTCACCATGTACTGGGCGCGGGGGGGGGGGGCGGAGGCGGGGGGTAAAGGGGAGGGAGGGAGGGGGGGAAGGGGGGATTGGTGTACTGAAGAGGAGAAAGGAGAAGAAGCTGGTGGGGAAATGATGTTTTCATGCGTCCTTGGGGCGCCGCGCCAGCTTCCGCCATGTACTGCGCGGACGGGGGCGGGGGAGGTTGGGCGGGGGGTTGGGGGGGGGTGAAGGTCAAGGGAAAAGAGTGAAGAGAGAGGGGGTGAGAGATGGTGGGGGAAGAGGGTGAAGCTTGCGAAATCCGCATCTAGGGCAACCAGCTCTAATTCCAAAAACCTTTCGCAACGAAATGAACGACGTACACTACGGCTCGCCATAGCTTATTATCTGCACCACTTAGGCCGCCTTCAAGCTAGACTCACCAGCTCGATGGTTTTGAGCAGCACGTTCCCGCCGTGCGAGTGCGCCACCAGGTGGATCCGCGCCGCTGGGTCATTCTGCGCGATCTGGTCGATCAGGTTGTGCAGCTGAAAGGAAAGAGGGGCAGCAGGCGAGGAGATATGGCATGGTGATCAAGAGATGGAAAGGATGTATTATTGTAACAGCAAAAAGGAAACGGTTTGTGTTTGTGTCGCTCGAAACCGGGGAAAAAGTGGAACCGGCAGATGACATCGGACGGACTCAAGAGGTTTCCGCCTCCGCTGAGGCTCAGATTTTTGGGCAGCGCAGCGGATTCGCCGCGCACAGCCGTAATCAGAGTCCACACCTCACCTTCATCGCCGCCGTTACGCGCCCCGCATGCGTGTTCGAGCCGTCCCAGTGGAACGGGTACGGAATTCCCGGGAGCGCGGAGCACGGCAAGTCGCGCCAGACCGCGTCCTGCCCGATCGGCCCGAGCGCGAGCAGCCGGCTGAGCTTCCGGCAGAAATTCTGCTCGCCGGCAGGCGGCGGTTGGTACCACGTCGGCGCTCCGCCGGGTGGCGGCGCGTCGAACGTGCCGTGAATCACGATCACGTAGTGGTTCTCGCTGCTGATGTCGAAGTCCACGCGTCGCACGCGGATCGGTGCCTCCATGTCGTTCGGTTTCCCGTCATTTGCCTCTCCGCTTCCGGCGCCGCCGCTCGCGGCGCTTCCTACGGAGAGGGATTTCTCAAACTTCTTCCGCGAACTGCTGTCGCCGTCGCCGAAGGCGTCGTCGGAATCGTCGTCGCTGCATTCGTCTGCGACTTTGTTGCTCGGGCCGCAAAGAATTCGACATTGAACTGACGGTTCCGTTGAACCGTTCGCTTGGCCGTTTACTGACGTGGAATCTGACGCTTCGCCGGTATCTTGCCGTGGACTTCGCCGGTGCGGGTTGATCGTTGACCTGCTAATAAGGGGTAATGCGTCGCCGGAGCCCTCGGCGACGTCGCTTTCTGCGTGCGATCTGCCTGCTTCGTCGCATTCTATCGTCTCAAGATCGACAGCTGTTGTACGTCCGGACGCCTGGTTCTCTCCGTTATCGTCGTAAAAGTTCCGTGAGTCCACCCGTATTGACAAGTGTGCTTCGGACATATCCGTTGGAGAAAGACGTTGGTCGGTTGCCATGATCGCCAGTTCTTGCGAAGTGATTACGGAGGTGACACACAGAATAAGAGTTTTGAGCGAAATCAGAGCATCGACAAGGTTGTGTTGGTCTCGTACACTGGTTCCTGAAGAGCTCCAGTGAATGAGGGAAATGCAGAGCAGAACTAGCAGAGCTGTACAGATGTTCTGGATTAGAGGCCCTTCCCAACATTTAGAGAAAATAAAACAAAAGGAAGTTTTGATTCACTATTTACTTTTTAAAGTTGTGTTTGTCTGTTTATCTTCACCGCTCTTGTGTCTAAATCCTGTTGCGCGGTTCCCCGCGAGCTCCGACGATGCCATCTCATTAATCTCGCTCACAGTGTAAAACAAAAAATGTTGTCTTTAATTTGGGCCTTCAAAATAATTTATTTTGTATTTTTCTGCCCGTTTGTCCTGCGACACTGATCAACGCGGCGAACCGTGCGACGAGAAGTTGAAGACAGCGTAGTCCGAATGTACGTATGTGACAAAAAACCACGAATAGTAGCGAAGTAAAATCGCTCTTCATGAAATTGTCCTTATGTGGGACTATAAGTTTCCTTTTGCCCAGGGTTTGTGAGTTTTCCACAAAGGCCCGCAGCGCGCGTGTTTTTCACGGCGACTCTAATCGAGAACATTTGTATTCCAGCTTTGCTCCTCGTGGTGGCATGACAGTGTTGTGCTTGCCTGCCGGTGGTTGACTTCTTTTCCGCAAGGAGACACGAGAACGTGAATAGCGCAGTGAATGCGCGTGCGCAGGCATCTTGTTGTTGGGACTTCCCAAATGTGTGGAACGAACGACCCATCAACGGTTTGAGGGAGATAGAAAAAAGTTCAAAATATTCATAAAGGTCAGTCGCAATTTTAGGGAGTGCTCAAAGTGCTGCACATTTCCGACGTCAAAGTTCGTCGAGGTTGTTGGAGAAGGTAGGTGAGCTGAAGGGTGCCCAATTGGTGTTCAAAGTACGTTTCAAAAATTGCTGACGCCAGCATCGCTGCCTGTACGGAATTCAGCGCATCTGTACAGTGATGACGAGACCACATCAGACAGAATAACAGTTTGGCGGGAGTTGCATGTTCGAAATTGACGAAGCTGAAAAAATTGGCTGTGGGTTTTTCGCAGCCATTAAACGCACTGTCTTTGCATACGAAAAAAGCCATGCGATTAACGAAATTCGTCTGAATTCATGTTCTACTATTTAGGCCGGCATTTGTCCTGAGTGGAAGTTCGTCGCCGGCATTGTGTTCAAAGTGCCGCGCTCGCCGTCAATCGACGTCGAGCACGACGTCGACTGACGTCGAGCCTTCGACGTCAAAGACTGTAGAATATTACTTTGTACACGCTTTCAGTTGCTCATGTGAGTGTTCTGTTCTCGTTTCGACTCTGGAGAGTGGATGATGAGTGATTATGGCACACCCCATCATCTTGGCTTGGAGTTCCTCTCACTGAACGTGTTGAATCGATTTTTTCCGTCAGCCAGCGAAGCACCAAGAACACGGAACAGCATTGCAGAGGTTGTTTTCGATTGGTCGAATTTCGTCAACGACAGGCGACAGCCGCATCGCCCGCCAAGTGACGTGCTTTCAATTGGTCGAGTCAGGTTCCTTCCACTACAGGTGTTTTGCTCAATCCCAGGCTGTTACAGTGCGGTACAGAGGAACAGATGGACCCTCAACAGAATGAACAATCACTGTTCCGTACTTGTTACTGTACAGTGCAGCCAGTTGTGTCTCCTCCACCCCACGTTTCAAGACGAGGTCTTTCAGGCAGTTTCCGTAGATCACGGAAATGGTTTATGGGAAAACCAATGGCGATTGACCCAGAGTGCGATATGCAGCAAAGAGAAATCAAATCGGGTAAATACCTCCGCAGTAACAGAAATTGAGCTCAATCGCACGCAAAGTTGGCCACGTGTCCAGATCGTAACAAAGGTATCCTCTCATCGCCACTGTGGTAACCAACATGCCGCGATGGTCAACATTATTGCCTGAATGGTAATGAACAGTGCATCCAGATTTCCTGGCTGGTAACTTCGCGTTCCAACCAAACTATACACCGTACAAGTAGGTAATTGACTCAGCGAAAAAGAAACTGACTGCCCACATGTACTTGACAAAATGCGCATTTCTGTTAATACTAGTGGCGTTTACAATTCCGCATGTTCAAACCTGCTATTGGGTAACATGTAAATAAAAATCGAATGCATTACACACAACGTCAAACCGGAAAGCTATTTTTGTGATAAATATTCTGAAACGTAGTATTTTACTCTACCGGACTTCTATTTACTAATCTTAAGAACTGGAGCTAAATCAAGTTACGAAGATCACAACGTCAAACACAACATCAAACACAACGTCACTTGATTTAGCTCCAGCTCTTAAGATTAGTAAATAGAAGTTCAGTAGAGTAAAATACTATGTTTCACAATTTTTATCATTCTGATAGCTTTCCGGTTTGACGTTGTGTGTATCTGTTTTGAATGTGGGGTTTATTTGATGGGTCATGCATTCGATTTTTATTTACAGGTTACCCAATAGCAGGTTTGAACGTGCGGAATTGTAAACGCCGCTATTATAAACAGAAATGCGCATTTTATGGAGTACATGTGGGCAGTCAGTTTTGTTTTCGCTAAGTCAATTACCTACTTGTATGTTAGAATATATATGTAACTGCCTGTAGCTGTAGTTTAGTGTAGTTATTATAAACTGTTGGTGGTGCACCTTCTTTGCATGCTCTGTTTGCTATATGTACCCTAGTGCTATAGTGAACATCATTCCCATTCTCGACTTTCTCCTTGGCACAACTTTCTCGACTCCCCCTTGGCCTAGGCTACTAAGCCTAGGCCCTACCTAGACCTAACTACCACTTGTGCTACTATCTCAACATGGAATCAGAGACTGTTAAGTCCAGGCCTGTGGGCCCGCCTCACGCTTCCGCTGCTGTTTTTCCGGTCACGCGCCTCGGGCGCGTGGCGATTTTCGTCCTGTCCCGCGCCCGGGTGGCGCGTGACATCTTCTCTGCCCGTCGCGCGCCCCGTGGCACGCGACGGTGCCCTGCCCGTCGTGCGCCCCGTGGCACGCGACGGTGCCCTGCCCGTCGTGCGCCCCGTGGCACGCGACGGTGCCCTGCCCGTCGTGCGCCCCGTGGCACGCGACGGTGCCCTGCCCGTCGTGCGCCCCGTGGCACGCGACGGTGCCTTGAACTGCCCGTCGCGTGCGCGACGGTGCCCTGAGCCGCCGCGGACCCGCCCCTGGCGCCCGCGACAGTGCCCTGAGCCGCCGCGGACCCGCCCCTGGCGCCCGCGACGGTCCCCCTGCCTCACCCGCGTCTGCACTCGGTGCAGCCGCCCCTGCACCACCGAGCGCCTGCCCTTGGAGCAGCCGCCCCCGCTCCTGCACTCGCTGCAGCCGCCCCTGACCTACCCGCGCCGACCCTCTGTAGCCGCTCTGAGGCTTTCTCCCCGCCCACCCCCTCCTCCTTCGTCTCCCTGCAGCCGTGGGGGGGAGGGTATGGGGGTGGCGGGTGTGGGGGTGATGGGTGGTGTGCTTCCCTTCCCCTCCTCCTCCTTTCGTTCCCACTGCTGCAGCTGCCGCTGGGGGGGAGGGTGTGAGGGTGTGGGGGAGCCGGGGGAGTGGCACTGGGGTGGCGGGTGTGAGACCAACCAGCAGCCGTCCCTCCACCTCTCCTCTCTTCCCCCCTCTGCTGCTCCTGCAGCAGTGTGGGGGGGAGGGGGAGGGGGAGGGTGAGGGGATGGAGGGGGTGACCAGCCAGAGCCAGCCCGCCCCCTCTCTCTCCCTGCTGCCCCTCCTGTGGTCGGGGGGGGGAAGAGAGTAAGGGGGTGGCAGGAATGTCTTGCTGTCGCCTGTCCCTATGCTGCTGTACCTGCTCTGTTACCGTGCCTGCTGTTGCTGTTGCTGGTGTACCCCTGCAGGTTGTGTTCTGCACAAACTCCTGCTGCAGGCAGTTATGGGGGAGTGTTAGAATATATATGTAACTGCCTGTAGCTGTAGTTTAGTGTAGTTATTATAAACTGTTGGTGGTGCACCTTCTTTGCATGCTCTGTTTGTTATATGTACCCTAGTGCTATAGTGAACATCATTCCCATTCTCGACTTTCTCCTTGGCACAACTTTCTCGACTCCCCCTTGGCCTAGGCTACTAAGCCTAGGCCCTACCTAGACCTAACTACCACTTGTGCTACTATCTCAACATTGTACAACGTACAGTTTAGTTGGAACGCGAAGTTACCAGCCAAGAAATCTGAATGCACTGTTCATTACTATTCAGGCAATAATGTTGACCACCGCGGCATGTTGGTTACCACGCTGGCGATGAGAGGATACATCTGTTACAATCTGGACATGTGGCTTACTCCACGTGCGATCGAGCTCAATGACTGTTACCGCGGAGGTAATTACCCAATAAACTCTCAAAAGGTGGGTCCTCTAAGGCCGCGTGTCTTTTGGAAATTATTGTAAAGTTCA